CATGGCAGAAACAGCCCCTGCTCTCCTTACTAGGGATCCCACTTAGAAACTGAGTCTATGAGCTATATATATATATATCTGAGCAGGCATTTTAGGTCCTCTCCATGCATGGTCCTTGGTTGGGGTATTAGTTTCTGCAGGGCCCAGTATGCTCCGTTGGTCTCCTTTTGGAGCTCCTGTCCCCTCCAGGCTTTTCTATTTTCCCATTCTTTCATAAAATTCCATTCATTCTACCCAAAGTTTGGTTATGAGTCTCAGCCTCTGCTTTGATACCTCAATAACTGGAGTCTTTCAGAGGCCTTCTGTGGTAGGCTCCTGTCCTGTTCCCTGTCTCCCTTGCTTACAATGTCTCTCATGTTTGCTCTTCTGAATGATAATTGATCATCTTACCCAGGGTCTTCCTTTTTGCTTAGCTTCTTTAGGTGTACATATTTTAGTATGTTTATCCTATATTATATATCTAATATCCATTTATGACTGAGTATATACCATGTGTGTCTTTCTGCTTCTAGGATACCTCACTCAGGATGATCTTTTCTAGTTCCCACCATCTGCCATCAAATTTCATGATTTCCTTATTTGTAATAGCTGAGTAGTATTCCATTGTGTAAATGTACCACAATTTCTGTATCCAGTCCAAGTACCTATATCTTCGAGGGGTTATTTTGACTTTTGTTTTGGGGTGCTGAGGACTAAACCTAGGACTTGTCACATGGTAAGAATGTGCCCTAAGAATGAGCTATTCCTGAGTCCTATACAAAAGCCTTAAGCATGTTATGTTGAAGGATTTGTAGAGATAGGATATAGCTTTATTTCTAGCTATTATTTCTAGTCTAGCTTTATTTCTATTTATTGTCTACAAAACTAGTCTGAAGACCTTAGTACGCTAGACAAATGTAGCATTTAAATGAAACCATTTCTAAGTCTGTTCTGAGTACTGACCACATCACGGGGTTTGCTCTGTAATCTTTGTCTCGTGGGTTACTGAATTTCTCCCTTATCTACAAAGTGAGGGAAATAGCCAGCCTCCTTAGCAGGTCTTCTGGGGTACTGCAGGGAGAGTTCCCAGGATAAAGCAGATACTCAGAAAATGCTGGCTTCTTACTGCTGCTCCTCTTAAGGCCATGCTCGCACCCATTATTATTCTTCAGCTTGGTTCATACCTGTCTCTCAACAACATTTCCTGCCACTGTCCTGTCTTTCCTCCTAAGCAAGTCCCTTGTCCTCTGCAAGACTCGAATATTCTCCAGTTTTGAACAGACTCTCTGAGTTACTTGGAGGCTGAATAATCAACCACTTGGAGGGGATGTTGTCGAAGCAAACTCAAGCTGCAGAAAGAAGCAGGCTCAGAAATTCCATCAGCTCACTAAGGAGAACCAGGCAATCAGCAATGCTGCACAGACAGCAGGCCTTCTCGGTGGTTGCCAGTTTTCCTCCACTCGTTTCTTTCTCACACTGGTAGGGGGTTCCTTTGTTCCATCTTACTGGAGCCACAATGTGGAGCTGCCATGAGTGAGAATACTGTAGAATACTGGAGAAAGAAAGGTCTTTTTTCAGCGAACCTAGTGTCAGGAGTGGACTTCAAGGGAGAACATAGACTTACAACTGTATGTTTGATTTAGGAAAACTTGCTTAAGTTCTATGAACCTCCAGGGTTTTGTTGTTGTTGAAATACGAGGAATTAAATCCTATTCTACATATAAAGTTTTCAGAGAGGTACAAAATCTGACTAGGATTAGATTTTGAAGATCCCTTCCCTCCTTTGTCCTTTCTTCTCTCTGTCACCAAGGGACCCTGCTGTTCAAGGGGATTGAGATTCTCATGGGTACAAAAGGGTGGGGGAGTCAGCCATAAGGGAGAGATTGAAACAAGGGTGGCAATTGTAGGAATCTCATGGGAGTGTGGGCTGAAGGCAGGTGGGGCAGATCATAGAGGCCCTGAACCTAGACAAAGAGAGTGGGGTTTGAGCCTTGCTGGAGCCTCTGTTGTTAGGCTTCTCCTTTTTTCCCTTCTGACTAGTGCTCTGGCCAGAACAACAACAAAAAAAAAGTTCAAAAATCATAAAACTTGTTTTCAAGAGCTCAGACTTCCTACACTGGAAACCAAAAGAAAACAGTGTCTGCTCATATCACTTCCTGGTTCCGTGGGGCATGAGTTTGAACGGGGGCATTTTGTTGGCACATTTCTCACAGGGTGCAAAGGCCTGTGAGCTGCTAGAAGCAAGGCAGTTGTGAGGCAGGCTCTTTGTTTGCCTTTTACTGGAAGGCCCCAAGGTCAGAGTGCACCTTGTAGCTGAAGTGACCAGGGTCTTTGAAAGCAATCTTTTTGGCCTCTCCACTTATTTGTCTTTGTCCCTTTAATTGGAACTGAAAACTCCCACCTCAGTGGTTACTGTGCCCAGCGTATGCTAATCTATTTAGAAATTTAAATATGGTTATTGGATTCATTGGTTGAAGAACTGACTTCCTGTACTGAGAATCAGCTTAACATCGTGATCATGGTTTATTGAGCACATACTATCTTCTAGATGTCAAGGAACACAAAGCTTTATAATTCAGGCTAACCTCAGACTCACTATGGATAACCTTGCATTACTGATCCTCTTGCTTCTACCTCCTGAGGGCTGGGATTTCAGGCATGTCATACCATGCCTGTTTCGTGTCATGCTAGAGCTTGAACCCAGGGCTTCATGCATTCTAGGCAAGTGCTCTGCTAACTGATCTATGTACCCAGACTTTTTAGTTTTTATTTTTTGCTATATATTTATTTGCTTATTTATTTTGCTTATTTGCTAAACCAACAAAATACCCTATTGATACTTTATTAGAAAAAAATAGTATATTTGTGTATTAATTATCTAGAAATAAAATATATAAATTTCCATTAAAAGAAAAGTAATACCAAGTCTCTTGGAGTTTTTGTTAATGGCAAACACTAAAGCATTTTTTTTCCTTTCTTCTCAACTTTTCATTTTAAATAAGGACAGGACAAAGTGCTTGCCATTCATCATAAAGTTTGGTCCCAAGAATCTGATCTTCCCACAACTCCTACTGCTACTTATTTTCATTCATCCACTTTACAGACAGGAGTTAAGAAAGAATGATTGACATGAGGAGCCCAACACTTTTAAGACAATTCCTTTTATTTGCATTTCACTTTATCTATCTCACCTTTTCCTTGCTATTTTTCTGTCGGTGGGCAACTCAAGCCCATTTACAGAGGACTCAGTTCCCACAGCAAGTTGTTTCCCTCTATAAGAACCCACCTGCTCTTTTTCTGTCTTCCTGTCCTCAGCTAAGAAGGCTGCCTGCTACCCTATTACCAAAATAGGAAACTCCAGATGTTCATAGCTCTTCCGTCTCCTCTGGCCACATGACTTTTGTAAGGGCTAACCTTTCCTAAGGCAAAGAGGCAGCAAGGTTTTGGCATTCCTTTTCCTTATGGAGATATGGAAAGGAAGACTACTTTTTTTGACAACAGCTGAGTGAGGGAAACTGGAATCAAGCAACCCACAGAAATGGTGTCAGTGTAATTGCAGCTGTCAGCAGAAGAGGCCAGGAATGCACCCTGCAAGATTCTTTTCTGTGTTACAACAATGCTGTGAATTCCCTGCAAGTGAACATGGGTAGGGAGGGGAGGTGTTACCAGAGAGGTGACATTTGATGCATGCTCAAACAGGTCCAGGGCCCCATTCAAAGGGCAGAAAGGCAGTCACCCAAGTGGAGCATTAACTGGGGAACCAGACGGGTCACCTGCTCCTGTCTACCCCTATCTTCTTCCTCCTCCGTAAAAGGGAAGTAGACGAAGAAACGGGGAAGTCCAAGCTGCTCCAGCAGTGACATTGTAGGGTCTCTAAAACACTTGACTCATTCCCAGAGAGGCAAAACCTCTGTCATAAAAAATGCTTTGCAAAGGGTTTCTGGAAACATCCCTCCAGGGCACAGAAAAAGAGAAGGGATATTTTGCAGTTCTCTGTGTCTCAGAAATTATCTCAACGATGCCTTTTTATAATCTATGTAGAGCTCCTATCACCTGCCGCTAGCAGGCACAAGCGTGGGACCTGTAATTACTTTTTAGTACCAAGTAGTCTCTGGTACTTACAGACTCAGGTGCCATTTTGAAACCAGCACATCTCTACCAAAGTCGTCCACATGCATCGTAGAAAGCCTTACCCTCCAAACCTAGTTTGCGCTTCTGTTTCCACCTTGACAAAGTAGAGCTCATGGAATGTGATCTTCGGAAATCCTTGGCTCTTGTTAGCAGTCTTTTTTAATTGATGAAAATAAGAAAAAGGAAATTAACTTCCTTGTTGTCGGTCAATAGCAGAAGTTGAATTTGACTTATTTTTAAGGGGGAGGCTGTGTACCTTACAAAACTCCCAATTACCTTACGCCCAGCAAATACTAGTTATTTGACTCGAGTGTTCACGAAAATTAATAGCAAATAATATAGAGGCGGCAACGCTGAAACTTTTCTTTAAAAAAAAAAATCACTCAAGTATTTTTAATCGCCCTCTCAAATCAAGGGAGAAGACAAGCGAGGGAGACAACGAGGGCCGAGTCGGGGCAAACGCAGTCCACTGTTCTGAAAGCTGAGTCATAGGAATCAGACCCCAGCAGCCCTTGTGTGACAGACACCGCACCCTATCTTGGGGGCACAGGCTGCAGACAAAGCCGGTTTCGAAGTAAAAGAATGCCTGTCCCCCAGGTGCCATTCAGGCCCGTCAGTTATCACGCATTGAACCGTAAGAACAGGCTTGGGCGGCTGTTGCAAAAGTTCATAAATAATAAAATAAAATGACCGTCATTTTGAAGGCGTTATTCCTTTTCTAGTTCCTCCACCGATGTAGTTAGAGGGCCCTGGTAGATTAGGATGTGGGGGATGGGGTGGGGGTGGGGGTCCGACAGGCCTCCGTACGCCCTTCCGGAGAAGAGGCGCGAAGGAGTTAAACGGTACTGCGAGTGACATCACCTCATTTACATAGGAGCGCGCATATAGCGGCGCTCGCCTTGCCCCTCCCGACAATAGGCGGCGGTTTCTGAGCAGATCGGACTCTCCTCGTCGGCGTCGGCGCACCTCACTCGGTGAGCCCCAGGGCCCCTTTCTTCTGTCCTCCACACCTCTGTCTGGCGTAGGCGCTTGCCCCTCATCCTTAAAGTCCAAGGGTATTTCAAAGCAAGGTTGTTTCGGGGAATTTGGGGGATGTTAAACTCTTCCAGATTCTGAGTAATGGGAAGGGGAACTTAATATATTTTTTAAAGAAAACCCCACAAATTCGAGCGTTTTACTGCGCAACTTTGAGGGGAACCGTCTTCTCTCCTTGACCCTCAAATCCAAAAGTATTTTCCCTTGCCTCAGAGGCTGTAATTAACTAGAAAAGGAAAGATCCTTTGTTCTAAGGCTCTGTATTCCCCTTAAATGCCCGTTGGCTTCGAGGGCTGTTTTCTGTGGCAGCTTTAACCTAACAGGATTGTAGCGAGAAAATTAGGAAGTCCTTGGAGAGGAATGTATGCAAACGCGGTTGAGTGTCTCCTGTATGCAGATTGAGATGGATTGGAGAGAAGTGGAGAGGCAGCTTTGTGTGCAGCGGCTGCATTGTTGGGCTAGAGGGAGGAGAGGAAGCGAGTAGGGCGGTGGTCCGCAGCTGCCAGAGTCAGCTACCGCCTTTGTGAGGAGGAGAAAATTGGACCGCCTGGCATCTTTTAGGGAGCAAGCCCTTCTAGAAAATGTAGATGGGTTTTGCGACCTTGGCTCTATTTTAAAAAGAGTTTTTACTCGACTCCCTTTTTCCCCGCCTTAAGCTGGAAGTGGCTTCAATCTATCCCGATTTAAATTTTTCAACACCGCAATGTTAACCTCTCTCAATGATGAATTTCATTATACGGAAATAACTTTGAAAGCCACCTTCGCTTTTTGATTCTTCACATTGGAAATACTAAGGAAGATTTTTTCCCCCAATAGAAGGAGGGTCTTTAGCTGGGAATGGAAGAGGAAAAGGACAGGGAGGGGAGTGGTAGGATTTCAGGCTTGGATCTGAGATGGGGGAGTGGGGGGACTGTTTCGGAACTGGGAGAAGCGAGTGTGGGTGGTGGCTCTTCCTTAGCCTTGGACTTGGCTTTGTACCTGCAGCTCCTTCCAGCAACCATGTCTGACAAACCCGATATGGCTGAGATCGAGAAATTCGATAAGTCGAAATTGAAGAAGACAGAAACGCAAGAGAAAAATCCTCTGCCTTCAAAAGAAAGTAAGCTGTTCGCCCCCACCCATTTTAAGAACAGGCTGGGCGGGAGCAGAGAGGGAGCAGAGGCGGGTAGGAGGAAGGGAGGGGAAGCAGGGAGATGGGGGGGTGCAGGGGAGGAGCTGACAGTTTGATGATGAATGTGGCCTGCAAAGGTTAATTAAAAACTGTTTTGCAGTCAACAAATGCTGGGCTTTAGTGATTTAATAATTTAATATTTAGTATGCCATATTATGCAAACACATTTATTGGTTAACTACTTTTATTTAATGTCTTTCTCACCAATGGCTACTTATGCATCTTTCTAGAATTTTTATGATATGAAAAAAATTTTTAATGAAAATATTGTCATTTTATAGAGAGCTCTAAGCCTCTTTTTCTTTTTTTTTCCTTCACAGCGATTGAACAGGAGAAGCAAGCTGGCGAATCGTAATGAGGCGAGCGCCGCCAATATGCACTGTACATTCCACAAGCATTGCCTTCTTATTTTACTTCTTTTAGCTGTTTAACTTTGTAAGATGCAAAGAGGTTGGATCAAGTTTAAATGACTGTGCTGCCCCTTTCACATCAAAGAATCAGAACTACTGACCAGGAAGGCCTCCCCTGCCTCTCCCACCCATTTGCTGGTCTGGCTAGCAGAGAGGGAAAAGAACTTGCATGTTGGTGAAGGAAAAAGCGGGGTGGGAGATGGTGAAATATAGTAAAATTCAAGATGGCCCAAGGTGTCCTGCAGGATGTAAAATGCAGTTTAATCAGAGTGCCATTTTTTTTTTGTTCAAATGATTTTAATTATTGGAATGCACAATTTTTTTAATATGCAAATAAAAAGTTTTAAAACCTGCCTGGTGTGTCTGTTTGGTATCTGGAAGGAGTAGTTGAATGGGCAATAAAACCTTTGCAAAAGTGCCTGCCTTTTGGTCACTGGGACACAGAAGGGACAAACACAAACTGCCTTGACATCACAGCACTGGTTTAGTCCAGGTATGTAAAATACCTTGTCTGTAGCAAATAATTGGGAGGTCATCTTAAACGGATTGTGAGTTCCTAATGGGTTACATGAAATGTTTAATGACAATATTTGCAATCGGTGTAGCCACCACTGTTGGCTGAAGTGGGTGGGGGATGACCAGCCTGGCAAACTTACATGTAGTTTGAGCCTTTTATGGGTTTTGGTAAATCAACATTGAATTTATTGGATATCACTCCAGAAAATAAAAGGTCGCCAGTTCAGCACCTTTGCTTTAGGTATCAAAATGAACTCAGGTAGCCAGTTACGTAGTATTAAACAAGTAGAATTTAGGACAATCCTGTGAGGTAAAAATAAAGCTACATTAGTATTTGCTTTAGAAAGGGATTTGGAATTTTTCGTCATCTAATGACCAGTTTGCAAATCAAGCCCAATATTTAAAATCATCTTTATAAAAGCAAATGCATTTACCATTAAAGAATGATTTCAACTTAGTGACATACTAATAAAGAATGCTTGGACTTGGAGGACAAATGCAGGACAGATGAAATCTGGGCCAAATTTAAAACCAGCAGATAACCATCTGCTGACCCAAAGGTCTTGTCTTGATTCCTCTCTAATCTTCAATCATCTGAGCTGCATATTTTAATTGATGGGTACAAGCAAAGCCCTTGTTTTGGCCAGGCCACAACATGTATAAAGAGAGGCAAAATGAGCTGTCAATTTTTAACAGTAAAATGAAGGTCCTGGAAGCTCCATGGTAGATTGCTCTGCTCTTTATGAAGGATGCAGGTTTATAAAGCAAAAATACAGCAAAAATTAGCTTGTGAAAGTACCAGTATAAAAGGTGTGGGGGTGGGGGGTGGGGAGGAGTGTGCATTACTAAAGTCAGTTGATTTCCTTTGCTCAACACTTCCTTTGAGCAATGCACATGAAGCCATGTACATGTGGTTTAGACAACTGAGGAGACCATCAGTGAACCAGCCTTTATCTGCCTGTTAGGGCTAGGATGTCAGGTCACAGTTCATTCATACTGTGGAGAGGAGACAGAAGGAAACAGCACAAGGGTTCTGGGGGTGGCAGTCCTGTAGCCTTGACATTTCCTTACTGACCTGCAAGGCAGAGTATAAGCTCAGGGAAAATGTCCAAACCACAAAGAAAAAACACACCCATGCAAGTTTTGCTCGGTGTGTTTTCAAAAACGATTCGAGATGAAAGGAGTTTTTGTTTGTTTGTTTGCTTGTTTTTGTTTCTTTAACAAAAGAAATCCACACAATTTCAAGGTTCCTCCATTTAAAAAGGAAAGGGAAAGGAATAATTCACAAAGGTCAGTGATGGAAGATGCCCTTTCTGTCCTAGGAAGACCAAGACAAAATGTAGTGGGGACAAAAACGTAGAGTTAGAAATCTAGGGTTGGGGATATAGCTAAATTTGTAGAGTGCTTGCCTAACATGCATAAATTCTAGGTTTTGAGTCCCAGAATTGCATAAACCCCGCATAGTGGTGGAGGCAGGAGGATCAAAAGCTCAAGGTCACCCTCTGCTTCCTAAGAAGTTTGAGTCCAGACTAGGATACAAAAGATCCTTTCTCAAAAATAAAAATAAAATCAATTTAGAAATGATTGAATGCTGGATGCTAAATCAGATGTATCTGCCCACATCACGTGATAATGGAATTTGAGTAAAATACTACACAGGGTTGAAAAAAGGAGCATTTTGTTCATGTTTTGTTGTTGTTGTGATGGTTGTGACAGTATTATTATTATTATTATTTAAACTCTTTCTTTGATGGAGCATTCTATATTCTTCCCAGGAGAGAATCTTTCAGAAGGGCTGGAGGTATTTAAGAATCAGTGTGGGAATTTATGTTTCTGCTATCTGAGCACCTTGGAGTGCAAGTATTCTCAGAGATGTTGAAGGAGACAATACATTTATCAATAGTACAAGAGAGAGAATGTTACAACTAGAGTCCCTTGCTACTACGTCTTTGACCAACCTCCTAGAAGAATCAGGCCAAAGAGCTTATGTAAACTTCAGGCAAACTGGACCTAGTGAGGCATGATTGTAATCCCAGTACTTGGTGGGATAAGAGATGAGGATCTAAGTTCTAGGCCAGCTGGAGTGACATAGTAAAACCTCTGCTTCTAAAATAAAATGGAATAAAAAACAGTTACAGAATTTTACAGTTCTGTAAACTTTAAACTAATTCAGACAAATAAAATAGAACTAGAGAAAATAAGAGGCTCACTGAAAGACCCTTGGATTGGAGCTGTTTTCAATCTCATTAAATTGTCAACTATTTTAGCTGTGTCTATTCCAGTCTTCTAATAGATGGGCTTTCAGCTTTTAGGACAACAATGCACAATTGGTGGTGTATGCAAATTGACTGAACAAGTGTAGAAGTAGAAGGCATGTGGGCAGACAAAGTTTTATGTGCATGGAGTCTCTCAGCTTTATCAGGCTTCTTGCAACCCTTATAGTCACAGTTAGGTTTTATTGCCTATACATGCATTGAAGAATCTGTTTATTTACCAAGAGAAGTATAATTCCTCAAAGACACAAGAAAGAAAAGCAGTTTGTTTCTTTTCTTTTTTTTTTTTTCTGTTTCCAAAAGTATGAGTGCTATTCATGCTTTCTAGAAAGAATACTTCATTTGGAAATTGTGTTACAGCCAAATTTTTTTTTTAAAAAAAGCCTTTCTTAGCTCAAATATGTACATTTAAAACATTTTAAATAATGCAGGGAGCACCAAATGCTTCATTTTCCACAGCATCCCTCATGGGACTAGCATGAATATAAGAAAAGTAAAATAATTTCTTTGCCCTCACCCCACCATACTCACTTTCATATTTTGTTTTCAAAAGTTATTTGTAAATCATATCTTCATGAGCAGCTTACATTGTAATCTAAAAGAAAGAAACACACCATTTAGGGGTTCCTTTATCTTTTATTTGTGTATAATGAAAAGGGCCACAATTGCCAAGTTTAAGATAAGATGTAGAAAGAACTGAAACCTGCATTCATCAGGTTATATTTTCCTTGTGTGTTTGCACAGCCTTCTCTAGGCACATTGTCTGGTTCCTGCCATCCTCAGTCATGTGGGAAGAGATGTGCATGCTACATTCATTGGTTGTGTATTGCGTATACTTCCTGTTTAAATGTCTTGCATGGTAACGGAAACATATTAAAGCTTTAATGTTTAGTTAGAGCTTTGTTTTTTAGTCAATGGAGACTTCATCAAATGTACTTGGTTAGGAGTACTTTTGAACATGTGACTAATATTCTAGATAGCACTCATATGTGTGCGCTTTTATGAAAAAAAGAAAAGAAACATCACATTTAATTTAAAGAAAACAATCAGAAACTTTCTTCAAGGATATTTTAGCAGCACCCCCCCCCCCAAAAAAAAGAAAGAAAAGTGAAAAAAAGAAAAAAGAAATAAAAAGAATACCACCCTGGAACTCGTGTTTATTAGAAGGTTGCCGAAAAATAACAATGACATTTAGTTTTAAAAGTTCTAAGTTTCTAGCAAATCAACTTGCTTCCGAGTGGAAGAAACCTAAGGTTATTTTAAATATCATAATGTTTGTAGGCTTCTCTCGTTGAATATCATGTACATTTAAAGGGACAGATGTAAAAAATTTCTTTCTTTTTTGTTTTTATAAGATCAATTATTTGTTTCTCCAAGTCCTTTAAGTTGCCAAACAAAGAGTTTTGCAATATTTCATTTCATTTATTTACATATCTTCTCACCAATTTCTCTACTTCACAATTTCTTCTACACTCTCCACAATTATTTAAATATTGGCCAGAAGTGTTTCATCTCCTTTGACACTCTGTCATTTCTCATCTTTATCTAAATTTGCTGATCTAGGCTAAGCTGTAAGCTCCAGGGTTGTCTCTGTAGTGTTTTGAGACAGGGTCTCACTATTTAGCTCAGGCTAGTCTACCACTCATGATCTTTGTGCTTCAGACTCCCCAGAGCTGAAATTAGAATCATTACCATGCCTGGTCCGTTAAAATATCTTCTGAAAGGATATATTTAGAGAGCTTTGAATACTAATTTGCCATTGACTTTGGTTAAGCTGATTTGAATCGGTACTTAGAGCCAATGACATATTCTCCACATTAAGTCAGAGTGATGTATCATTAGTTTACTCTTACAATATTTACTGATTATCTATTATATGTTGAGTATCTTATTTGCCAGAGACATATAGTCATAAGTAAAATCCCACACTAATTAACTAGAAAATACTGTTTTTGTCTAATTTTGAGAGGAGAATGTAGACATTGCTCCCTTGAGTTTATAAATTTCATAATTCAGGAGGTTGAGGCAAAAGGTTCGGGGCCATCCTTAGCTATATAGTGAGTCTGAAACCACCCTGAGATATGTGAGACCTTGTCTTAAATAACTATATAATAGACACATGGCAAGATGGCTCAATAAGATTAACGTGAGCAAGAATAAAGTAAACGTGGCTGCCACCAAAACATGTGTTCAATCCCTAAACCACATATGGTGGAAAGAAAGAACTGACTCCTACAAGTTGTCCTCTGATCTTTGTGTGTGTGTGTGTGTGTGTGTGTGTGTGTGTGTGTGATCTAAACAAACAAACATACAGAGGCAAGTCCTGAAGGCCAGTCAGTCTAACCAAAACAGCAAAACAGAAAGGCTCAGTGAGAGATGCTGTCTCAAAAAATAAGGTGGTGGAGAAGTCATTGAGAAAGATATATGGATATCAATCTCTGTTGTCTGCACAAGCCAACACACACACAGACACTATGGGGAATTTTGCAGAAAAAATACTTCTAATTGCTAAGTCCTTCCTCTGTGTTTACCTTTTGTCTTAAACTTGACAGTAAAATTTTTGG